TAAATACCATGTTGTTTATGTAATTTGACATTGTAACAAAATCGTGACCAGATTGAATGTAAACAGTAATAATATAATATAATGTCCGGATCGGACATTCGTACAAATTACTAACTGTATCAAGGAGAAACTAATAACCTCCTTATATGAGATAAAAATGATTTATAAATGATAAGTATATCATTTGTACGCCATCATATTTTTAATGATTCCAAGTAGTTTTTAATTGTGTGCATTGTATAGTTGTATTGAATGCATACTATTTATATACATTATTATGATAATATATATAGTTGTTAGTGTTACAAAATAACGAAACGAAAGCTACTTATAAGTTACCTAAATGTTATTATTGTAATTATTAATTTTATATGTGCAGAAATACCTATCCTATTCAATGCGTCGTCAAAATGTTTAGGCACTTCAATCGCTCGTAATAAATGTATGTGCCATTATGTTTTTTTTTTTTTAAATTTCCAATAAATAAACCAATGAAGAATCTTGTGTTTAATTGTCAAGTCTATGCGGGGTATTAAAAAAAAATGTCATGCATTTTTATTCGCAAAATAATTACTCACCATATTTTCGTGATTATTTTTGGAAAACACCATCTGATCACTGGTGTAGCGGCATAGCGGTCAAGGCATTTGGGTACCTATGGGTATATATTACAAACACGGTGTATATAATATGTGCACGGTGTACAGCGTAATGGCCAATGAGATTTGTACGTTTTCTTTCTCAATCAAATCCAGCAAAATCGTGCTGTGCCGTCGCACACCGTCCCGTGGGACTCGCGTCTCGCCTGCCGATTATACGTCCGTGCAGTCCTCGTATCCGAATTACCCGATTTTATGTGTGTCCCGTCTCACCCCGGTCACAAACTTTCAACCCCCAGCCGCCACCTTGCCCCTTAATGTTTAATATATAGTGCGCGGCGGTGCTTCCGGTCGGAAAACAATTTATGCCCCCGTATCGCATTCCCCTGTCGTCCAGCCGGTTTCGCCTCTGGTGTCGTAATTGCAATCAGAAATGTAAATTGGCATACACGACTTATATTTTGTCGAATTTTAAATAATTTTATTCAATAATAATACGGTAGTCTGAATTTGTAAACCTACCTATGACATAATATATTTATCCACATTAATTACTATATAGGTTAGAGATCAGGCTCGGATCTAGGAATCTGAAATAATGGAGGGTGACTAAATAATTATAATTTTAGTAGATAATAGATTATAGATAAGATTTTAAGAATAATTGTACTTATATTTTACATTTTATATTTATGGATTTTAAGACGTATTAGAGACGTATTACTTATTTAAATAAAAACACAATATATAACATTTTCAAAAGGGGGTGGACTGAAGCCTCTTAGCGTCTACCCTGGATTCTTGACTGCTAGGGACTTAGTTTGCATGTTTTTTTTATAATATTCATTCAAAACGTAGCTATTGTTGATATGGCCATACGTTATTACTTATTAATAATACCAGGAGTCTATAGTAACAGTTATGTTTTGCCTATTTTGCATATTTCTCATAATATAATTATATAGTTGTTTGTGCATATTTTGTTGTATTCGAGTTCTAAGAGTATAGTTCACATATTATATTTTTAAATAAGTATTTAATTTGATTAAACTTATTACAACCATAAGCATACCACTCGCAGCATGTGTTTAGTTGCGTGCCTAATTATATGATGATGATTTTTATAATTGTATGTGACGTTTTGAGGTACACGTATCATATTATACATATTGATTTACATGTTAAACAGCTTGTTTGAATATTTTAGGAGGGATTTCGGTGTTATTATAATAACGAGTACCTAACCGTCGTGTAAAATGGCCGGCGTGGTATAAAATAATCCTTCTCAAACAATTTATGTTCTCTAATTAATATATTCGGTGGGTTAGACAAATGGTGGAGAGCTGCCTTCATAATATCAAATCAACATGTCTAATGCCTATTAACATATGATATAGATATCCGGCCTTAAACTATAATATATAATATGTTTGTTGTATTTTATTATTTTTTTCTAATTTATTCTTTTCTTAACAACCGCGGTGTTTGTGTTTTTGTATTGTTCCTCATCTTGAGAATCGAAATGCAACACCGCGAATACAATTCAATTTGCTCTTGTGTTGTTTGTTTTATGACGTTTGCAACAATTAAAACTACATTTTACGTATTGCTAGTTGCTATGAAGGAGGAAGTATGGATAAAACAATTAAATGTATATTTTTCATGGGGTCTGTATGATATAACAGTAATAAGTTATGCGATTTATCTCTCTCTTTTATAACAATATAATATATTATATAGATTATGGAGTATAATTTGATGATGAAAACACACGATAAAAACGATTATTTTTGTAGTATAATTGACCGTGAATATAAATAAATATCGTGTATTTCACAACTTAGCCAAAACATATATTATAATAATATTATATAGGTACGATTTCCATATTTTTCTTATACGACTTAATTATTAAAAATATATAATAATTTGTTTATTATATGTTACTATGTAGCAGATTAACGAATCAACATTGAAAGTTTTGATTAAATTGACGCGTCGCCAATCAGAAGGTACACAGCATTATAATATAATACAATTATTACGATATATTCCCAGTCGGTTATTATATTGCGGTTTGTTTAATCAAGCACGTTGCTTGAGTATACACCCGATGAGATACGTTTTCGAGTCGCATTATTTATACGCACCATAAACCAATAAAATAATAATAATAATATATATTGTGTCCGTCGTCCGGAATAATAGTAAAATGTTTTTGGGTCACGAACTCTTCGTACTCGTAACAAGTAGGTATAATCTGGCATAACTATATAGGGTGATTCACCAAGTATGCTCACCCCTTGTTTTTAGCCAACAACTGTTGTAGAAAGTGAACGAAAATGAAATATTTGTCGGGGACCATTATAGTTGTAATCTAGACGGGTCTATGCTTTGTAGTTTGTAGTTTGTACCGATTAAACGAACGTGTAACGACCATAATGTACTCGTCACCCCAATGTGTATTCGTTACTTTGTAACAAATAAAGAAGTAACGGTCCATCACTAGTATAGTAATATCTAGATACTAAATTTATATTTAAAAATTCGATTTTGAATTTTTCCGATATTAAAGAGATAGGAATATCGGAGCGAAAAAATGGTGTGAGCTTGATTCTCTGTGAATCACCCTGTATACTATATTTGAATATATTATATAATAAGAAGTGTAGATAGGTACCTATATAATAATATGTCCGTTTGGCGGTACAGTATACACGAAGCGGACCCACGCCGACTGGCGGACGATCATAAATATTTTATTGGGGTGATTCAAATTAGGGACAATAATATGTGTATACGAGGTATTTTTTTTTAGCACAATAACGCACATAATGCTCATTTGGGAGGTCTTTGATCGTCGTACCTAACCGCGTTTCCACCGCCTTTTCATGTCATTCCGCCGCCGATTTTATAGTACTTTGTGTGTATGCGCTCACGTAACCGAACGCATTCATGTATATTACCTATACATGTACCTATATATAATATAATATAATAGGTCAGCGGTTTCCCCTCTCGTTTAGGGACGCGCCGATGACACTACATAATGCTTGTTCTACAATATAATATACATATATATATAATGTCAATGTCACTGAAATTTATATTCATTTTTTTTTGTTGTTTTGTTTTGCAGGTATGTACGATTATCATTCTAAAGAACTTTCAGAATCGTAAAAACGTGCGTGACATCCTTTTTATATTTTGTCCGTATATATAAAACAAGTTGTGCAATAATATATTGTTTTAATCACTCATCGCGGAGGCCGAGGATGCCACCCTATTTATATACATACTATTTATATATGTAGAATAACTGTACTGTATATACAAAGGTAAAAAATAACTACGAGTATATTATATTCGTAATATTATTATGTTTAAGGAAATTAAGTTTCACCACAGCGAACATAATATTATACTATAGTGAAATATTCAAAATAAACAAGTGCTTTGAATGTAAATTTATATATAATATAATAGGTACATTAGGTTTACTTTGTGAAACAAAAAAAAAACGGTCACAACACACAGCGGGAGCAGATTATAAACGTATAGTTTTAAGCTCGTTCAAAGCATATAATATATTACGCCCTGTTTGTAAAATATTAACCGTCGATTTGAAAAATTGTCTTATTTCTTTTTATGTAATTGACCTACATAATTTTTTCACAAACAATTATGTTTTCCGTATGAACGTTTTGATATACATACATTTGGCTTTTATCTATACCTACGTGTACGTATTATGTGTAAAAGTCTGGAGCTATTTTATGAAGCACATCAAATCTAATAAATGTATAGGTATACTAATACATCTATTAAATTACGCCATACAGCTAAACTTTTTCATTCTTTAGTCTTATTATCTATTAGGTTAGCTATTAATTTGGTTTTAGTTAAGGAGGAACATGGTTTCCGTCCTGGCCGTTCCACTACCCCTAGCAATTTAGTTTTTACTAATTATGTATTTGATGCTTCTACTAAACGTTCACATAATGACGTAATATACACTGATTTGAGATTTTACCAAGGCTTTTGATCTTGTAGATCATCATTTATTGATGAGAATACTATTTGGCCCCGGCTTTGGTGAACAACTGTTGTCATGATTTAGCTCTTATCTTATCTAAGCAACTTGTGCTTGGTGTTAAATCTGATATTATTGATGAACCAACCGGTGTCCCACAAGGTGGGCATCTTTCTCCCTTGTTATTTGCATTATTTATTAATGATATCAAAAGATCTATTTTTAACTGTCAATTCCTACTTTATGCAGATGACTTAAAATTGTTTTATTTAAATTAATTCAGTGAGTGACTGCTTGTTTTTAAAAGACGATCTGAATTCATTAGTGAGATAGGCTGATGGCCGTGGGTTGGAACTTAACATTTTAAAATGTCATTCTATAGAACCCGTGAACGTATTGATTATTCGTATGCGATTATTGATAATGCATTCTTATTCGCTGGTAATGAGATTACTGATTTGGGTATTGTATTTGATAGTGTGTTAAATGTTCATCATGCCCATTTAGATAACATGTGTTGTAAAACATTAAAAACTTTGGATCTTATAAAAAGAATTTGTAATGCATTTAAACAAGTGACTCCTATGAAATTCTTATGTTGTGCCTTTGTGAGGCAATTTTGGAGTATGGAGCTGTTGTGTGGGATCATGTACCTCTTGTGGGATGAATCAAATTTAACGTGTTCAATGAAAATGTCTTAACTTTGTTGCATATAAATTAAAAATTCATCACCCACCCCATGACTATTCTCTAGTTATGCACCGTCTTGGCTTTAATACGTTAGCTGATAGAAGGCTTGAAACTAATTTAACTTTTCTGAGACGTCTTATTGATAGTATTATTGATGCTCCTGAACTATTGATACAAATTAACTTTTAAGTTCCAACTTTTAATGCACGCCACATGTACTTGTTTTCTTTACCTATATACAAAACCAATTATTTAAAAAATTAACCATTACATAGAATGATGAGTATGGCAAATAAGGATCCATCAACTCTATAATTACTTTAATTATTTTGTACGTACCTATATGTATCTATTATATTGTGTATTTGTGTATGTGTTTAGTATTTACTATCTTGTGTTGATTTGGGTATATCCCATGTTGTAATAAACATAAAAATAAATTAAATAATACATTTAGGAATTATTCCGATATGAACATGTCTATATTATAGTCGTACGTATTACGTATAACCAAAGGTAGGAAAGTTAGTGAAAATAATTAATTCAATAGTTACACTAGGGCTAGTGAGCCGAATATCGTTTAGTTATAAGTTAATAGTTGACAAATAATAAATTTAACTCTGTAAGTTTAAAGTTAATATGAAATATAATATTAATTCAACTCAGTTTAAAACAAATCAATCTACTTTTTTAATTAATACGTGGATCACATAGTTATGACTTTAGGACCTTCTATATTATATAATTATATATTTATCAAGAAACAAAACAGAAATTATATTATTCGATTTTTTTTAATTTAAACCGTGTAGTACAGTAATAATATTATTGCATAAAACCATTAAAACCAAAAACTTCCAAAACATTTTTAATTTCGACTCTATGGATTATTTTTATATCCGTACTGTAAAAAGCCAAGTTGTTTCAATAGTCAATTAAACTGGTCAAGTTTCTAGGTTAATTAGCAAAATAAAATTTAAGTTAAAAAGTTGAAACAATTAATAAACTTTTTAGCTTACATAACTTAAACTTTTCAATTAGTCGATGCCCATCTTTGCCTATTATACATATTATTGTCATTGAGAATACTTTAAGAGTCCGTGTTATCGGTTAACCGTCTAGGATCGCGTCCTCCGCAAGTTAACCATCACCACGGTACCTATTACTAGGATTAAGTCACGCTTGTCTTTCGATCTCTTCTGATGTTTAGGTTAACCGTTTTACGATACACATCATTATCACCAGCTTATCACCGCGGCCTGCAGTGTACGACTGTGACGGTGTAGCGCTTCGATGTAGGTGCTTTATTATACATGGCCTACTTTAACCCGCGTACAATATATATTATTATATTATGTTGTAATATTATAGACCTATAACCGCGTATCGATAAAATATATATAGACACGGTTACCGGGTATGTGGTGGAGTGACTGCTGTGCGGTCTTATATACTGCAGCCTATATGTAATATATTTTATATAAATATTGCGGCAGGATATATTATTATTATTATTATATTCGTCGTATGTAAATAAGGACGAATTACCATAAGTTATTACGGACATATCATTATCGTGTCCCGTCCCGCACTTCCTAAATATTCCGTTCGTGTGTATAACGCGTCACACTTATTCGAGTCTGACATTAATTGTATTTTATTGGATTAAATTATCCGGGGTAATCGAATTTCAAACGATGTATACCAGTCGGACTAGTCGCTGTCCGTCGTGGCGCAATCGCGAGGTGTAATCCATGTAGGACGACAGTTGTTGTTGGTTGTATAAATACTTGTATAATGGGCCACATCGCGGGCCCCCCAACTGACGACGACCTATAGGCTCCGAATTTAAATTATAATATATACTAACGCGTTACACGCGCGTTTCGGTATATATTTATATAATATTATAATATATGAAACACAAATATTTGTTTTCGGTATTTTTCCCAATATTATAATTTTCTATCCGTCGAACGCATAATATCGTTTATTATAACGCCTCGTTGTGATCGTAGGCGTGCACCGTGTGTTTGACACTCGCGGGATGGGTAATAACTTTGTGTTAGAATAGGTATTTAAAAACTTATAAACAACACTACCGTTTTTATATATAGGTAGGTATCTATCTATATTGTTAGAGTAGAGTTAGTATTGATTTGAATATAAATATTATAATATATAACGTCTCCGGCATGGGTTCAGTTTCCATATTATATATTCCTCGTCATTTAATCATTTCATGTTAATATTATACGAAAAAGTAAGGATATTATATATTTCTGTATATATTTATTTTCTATGGTTGTACAATTTGAATATTACATCATCATCATCATCATCATCATGACACAAATAATAATAATAATGATAGTAATATTATGATCTTAAAAATATGTAAACGTTTGTTTAGCCGAATGCCGTTCACGTTTTCGTTTTTATTTGTTTCTCACGCCTAAACGTGGAGACTTTCATATAATGTAGGTACGTGTTTATGTAATATATAACATAAAATATAAATTATATCTTGCACACACAAAGAATTTTGCATAAACACGTTTGTGTCGCGTAGGTCGAAAATTGGGTCGACTGCAAATGCATTATGTTGGAGAAAAAAAAGAAGAAAAGAAAAAATAGAATCCTCTCCTAACCATTAGTGTGACCCAAGTTCACTAGCCGATGCTATCCTATTGTGTATCGGTTGATAATCACCACCGCGGGTTACTTTATTGTCACCGTCGTTGTTGTACTTGCGCTGTAAAATAATATATTGTTTTAACGTTCGTATATAATGAAACGCACTTTTAATTGGCTTCGGCGTCCTATGTTCTCAGCGCACGTCTATTATTATTACAACATATTATTAGACTATTATCATGGCGGGCGGGCGGAGGGAATGTAGATAATATGTAGGTATAATATTATAGTGTCTGTTCGTCTTTTGTAAATTTTGTTTACGATTATCGATCTAAATTTTACAAATTAAAATTCTTATCATTATTAATACCTAGTACTTATACATACTAACGTACCATAGGTACATGCCCGGTACATAGCTGCTTTGAATTGTTCTCAGGCTATACAGACTATACAATTTCTTTTAAAATTTAACACACGAGTGACTGTATTTTTTTTGTTCGTCCGATATGCAGTTTTATTTTAAAATATAACAATATGATAATTCAGTGCTAAATCGTTCATCATCTCTGCTGAGTCTCGAAATCACGAACTGCGGTCGTTTTCAACTATAGGTATCTGCAGCTTGCTATTTAAAATGCATTTATTCGCCACCGCAGTACAGCGTTATTATTATAGCCGACTATATTATATTGCTTCAATCGTAATTCATAATAATATAAACATGCATAGAATGGTATATACCTATATAGGTAGGACGGTAGGTACTAGGTAAAGTCGATTTGTTTTGCTCAAGGATTTCACCCCGTTTTACAGAGTTTTGAAATTAATTCTGGACCGCTATCCTGCTGCAGTAGTACTTACATACGCTGACCCAGCAAAGATTGCGGTTTCTTGTCAAACTGTTATAATTTAGGTAGATGATTTGTTGTGACTCGGCGATAGTGGTATATTGTACCAATACACTATATAATAGCAGGTAGCCGGTATATAAATAAAAATGTACATTTACACGTATATACACCTGCAGTGTTGTGCCCACTGCACCGCCACCACCACCACCGACCACTACTGGGTTACGTTCCACAAATGTCACTCGCGAGGAACTTATTATATACGTACTTACACATAAATATTATAATAAGAGTAAAATAATAACATAGGTTCCTATATATATATATATAGAGAAGGAAAGAAATAAACAACAACTTGTTGATTTATGCGCCCGACTTACGCAACCGGCGCGCTCGCGACCAACGGCGAAAGTGTCCAGGGTGTACAACGAGCTGCGAACAAATGAGAGTACTATTATATTATATGCGCAGTGCAGTGTTATTATGTAGGTAGGTACTTATATGATATGAGAACCGATAACAATCAATTTGTCCGAGTGTGTGCCGTACGAGTGTATAATATAATATATATATATGTACAGTAAAAAATGATAATAATAATAACCGGCTATCCTATATATATTTTATAATGGGCCATACGACTACAGCAGTACCACCAGGACCAGTGGCTTCGGCGGCGACCGGTATTATACTCCATTATATTATATTGTGGCCGCAGGGTCCTGTGTGCCGTAGCGGTGCAGCTCTGGACTGTTTGGCAATACGCGAGCACAGAACTGGCAAAGAATCAATATCTGCTCTAGTTTCGCAATCGTACACGTACACACACATTAGACGTCGTCGTTATGCGTGCGTTCGAGTGTGGTTTTTACTTTTTATTTTATTGCTGTTACACTAATTTTCGCAGAGACTACATAACTCAAAACGTGTTCACAATAATAATATTATGTCTGCTGGGGGCGCCGCCGCAGTGACATTAGAATTATTATTGTGCGTGTATATAGGCGGTACTCTCTTAAATAATATTGTTATTGACCGCGCGCACAATTATACAGAATATACGAGGCTACAATTAATATGGGTAGGTTCTGATATGTCTTCGAAGCTAATTATTATTATAAGTAGGTAGGTACTATGCTGCTGTGGCTGCGGCGCGATAGGTCTCCAAATCGTAGAGTATGCTCCGTGTGAAGTCTCGTCGTGCTCGTCCACGACTGAAAGACGTATGTATATTATTATTACAGTCGACTGACGGTATAACTGTTTAAGTGATACAACGAATTTCAAGGGATAGAGAAAAAAGTTAGTCATCAATAAGTTCGATATATGAGGAGCATAAACCTACAATATTCGTTACATACATCAGACTTATCAACATTTAAATCAACACATTACAAATATATGTATCATATTCATTTTTATTTAATAATATTTACATACATTTAAATATTATAGACATAGTATATAAGATCATATTACATAATATGTATATAAAATACATGAGTCATTCATACATGCATGTTAATACATAAGTATATAAACTATTTTGTACATTTATTACATAATGTCTATTAATTTTTTTAAAAATTGGTTGTTTTTTTTTTTGTGTGTAGTCGCTTGCGCTTACCCGGTCAGTATAGCATTGTCCACATTTAAAACACTAGAAAACACACTGTCGTTGATGACATGTCCCTGTAAATAACTTAAGACGTGGTGGAGATATGATTTTGGCATTTATCGTTACGTTGAGGGGACAAATATACATTTGATTTTTCGTTAGATCACAGGATTTTCAAATGAACGACATTTTTATTCGTTTTATCGAAATGTTCGTCAGTCGAGTCAGTCAGTCAGTTTTCTATAGGTCCAACGAGAAAATCATCTGACGGTGACCTATACCTAACTTCATGTAGTATATCCGATACTATTCTCCCAAGGTATATCTGAAAATGAAAAATAATTATCGCTCGACGAGTGTCCGGTGGTCTTCAGTATCCGTAATAATTTCCGTCTGTACTCAATGGTGACCTGTTGCAGACTCGGGAGAAACTCTTATTATACGTGTATACGCCAAATTACACTTAGACCTAATTGTTTAATTATTATCTTTAATGATCGCTACACGGTAAGGCGCAGTGTAATATATACTCAATCTCGCTAGATAACATTTTTGATGCCTAACCTTTATCGTTTGTCATATAAAACTACATACACCGAGACAACTACAACTTGCAATCATAATATCGGAGAGAGCATATTATTATATTGTATTATATTATATAGTAGGTCAACGGTGTTACGACCTCGTGTTATGAAGTGTGGTCTGATAAAAAGTAATTTATATCACTGCAGTATACCACCTACCTATACTGATTTGTACAGTTTTCAAACCAACACTTTTCGATGTGATACACGCACTTAAAATATGATGGATATAGGTACTTATGTTGGTCTGATGCAGTGTATACAACAGATGTCGGCAATAATCAGTGATCATTTGATTAATTCGAATTTGGTACTCACCAGTGTATTTCTCTTAGAATATCTCTCAAATAGTTGTGTACTTATCTATATATTATATTTTAATTTACTTGTGTTAAAAATTACTTAAAGTCATACTAACACGGATGTTGTAATTTGTATCTATATCGTTAAATCGTTTATAAAATAATAATTATTCTATTATTACGACATTACGAGGTACCTCGTACCTACTAGGTATAATGATATAGGTACGAGTTGTTTTATGTATATTTTATTCATATTTTAAACTATTTTAACCGTAAATGTTTGTATACTTAAATGATTGATAAATATAATGATATAATGCCATCTTATTTTGGATAATTTATGTCTTATTATGTGTGTCAGTCTTATAATTTTACATAAAATACCTATAAAGAACTTATTCTTGAAATTCGCTGTATGGCATTTTTATATCAAATTATATTTTTACATTGTAAAATGTACTTACATTTGAAAATGTTATAATTTTTAGACTTTACTTAATTTTATAGATTTTATTCAGTTTATTTTAGCATATTAGTATTACTGTATAGACATTAAGAATCATAGTTGGTTAATAATATTTATGGTTTTAAATAGATTATAGGTAAATATATAAATGTAATTCATTTTGCATAAAAAGTTAGTTGATTTATTTATGGAATACTCTAATGATTTAAATTATGCTTCTCATCGTATAATATTGTATAATATTCCATATAAGGAATATTTAATTTGTTAATTAAATTATAGCACCTTATCGGTTGGTTATAGCTTATAAAATATATTTGTATCAGTAGCATAATTTCTGAATTTGACTTACCCAAACCAGTAATGTATTATCTGATAAATATTAATTCTCTCCACCTTTCAGTAGTAGTTTGTCTATCGTATTTTATTTTGCTTCGCTCAATAATTATCTACCTACAAATGTTTTTTTTTTTAAATCTGTATAATATTTAAATTAATATGTTAAGCAAAATATAAAATACCTCTGCAACATTTGAAAGTAGCTTAATATGAATTGAGGAAATCGTTTACTACACCACATGGATTTTTTTTTATTGATTAAAGATTTTAATTAAATTGTTTTTAAACCTATATTGGTTTTTAAATGTTAGATAAAGAGGTAGTCTTTAACTAGAGGGAAGACGTTTCGGAAACCAGTGGGCTTATATTATAATATTTAAGTTATCATTAGTGTGAATGTTTTCGTTTTAAGGTTTGTATCTATTTCAATAGTATTACGCAATTTGTTGTCGAGTTGTATAATAAAGTCGCAAGTTTGAAATAGATTAATAATAGAAATAGTCGAAGAGTATCGATTGATTTCAAATCATTTTCCATTAAATGTTCTTCTTTAAACTCTTCACCTTGTTGAACAAAATGTAATTATAAACATATTATGCATTATGCGCAGGTATCACCGGAACATTATTGTTGCGCAGTTTTATTATTAATAAACATCATTACTGCAGATGCTTCAAGTCGAACATTCTGTATCAATAATCTGACTACAGCTGATGTGGTATAGACGTATAGTTTTTAAATATATAACTCACGTATATAATATGTTGCGAAAGTACCTACACCTATGTTCATTTATAATACCTACATATATATTTTTTGAAAAACGCGCGTACAACTGCTGCAGGCCTCGCCCTATAGTGGCTCGCGCTGTCCACGGCAAATTCTCGAGAGAAATTCGAGACCGCGGTTGATATAATATTATATATAGTATAGTAGGATAGTCGACAAGTCAAGTGCGTACCTTAGCTATAAGGTATATTATAGGAATATTATAAAAAAAAAAAAAAACTAAATACGAAATAAATCTCGAAGCCAATACAATATAATATTCTATATATTATGCGAGTCTGCCAGCGGGCACGTGTCCGATCAGATTAGCAGTGTTCTGTTGCATAACCGCGCCGGAGGTGGACAATGTAAATACTGCACACAGCTAACCGACTTCGGCTGCAACTGGATCAAGAACGCGTGTAATATGTTTTTGGATATTATTATATGTTTTGGGGGCTACCGAGTTTGTACGCGGTCGTGTCGGTGCGCATTCTTGGACGTTTCGATATCGAATCCGTCGACCGCAATGGGAGCAAGTCGGGTCCTCCGGTGGCGCGGTATATTACGCATATTATACCTAGGTATAATGTAGGTATACGACGCTGCTCGCAGACCACATAATCGCACTCCGGGTCGGCCCTCCGGGTTAAACCCGTTTTGGCGCTCACGAGAGAGACTTACGCGCGCATTACGATATATCGTTATAACGTGTGGGATATAGTTTTGTTTTTTTTTTTTTAATATGCGTATATAATAATTGTTTTTTTTACTGCGTGTGAAAAAAAGGGGCAACTCTGGAGAGGGAAGTCGAATACCGTATACAGGGTGATCCATTTAACGCGATACACGCACTTATTAATTATTATTATTTGAAAAACTATATACGTTTTTGAAACTACATTGCAAGACTTCAAGTCGTTAGTAAACCAACAGTTTTCCATCAAGTATTTAAAGTTCAGACGAGTAGAGTAGTACAATGCAGGGGTACATAGATTGCACAAGATATTGGTCCACTACTCCGCTTGTCAATACTTTAAATAGGTATGCAAGTATGCGTATAATATACTTTTAATAGATTTCTTGTCCGAAATTTAATATTTATAGATATTTCGATCAATATGAGATAAAAAATGTGTGTTGTCATCGAAAAGAGTATAAAACTTAAAATAAATATAATTTTTTTTTCTCCATAAATCCAATTGTTTAGTAACGACTTTAAAACGATGTAAAATAAATATTTTATTGAGACGTCGACATGGATCACTCCGTATATAAGAGGTAAGCGTTATTGATCATTACTCCACCTTATTGTTTATTGTGTGTGTGTGTGTGTGTAATTTGCGGGATATACATTTGGATATTACTGCAGCCGTGAGCATAATATAAGTATATAGTCCGATTTACGTTAATAAAATATTCGTGACGATTCGACGTCGACGAATATTATTTTTCGTAAACGCGTATACAAAACGATATTATGCTGGTCTATTATAACACCTAATGTTATACGAAACGGTTTTGGTTCGGGAGAAAACAAACTATCTGTCCGGCGTGATGTAACTATAATACAACAACAGATCGATGTGGGCACCCGCGCCGCCGTTAAAAATATATTATTACAGCCGACCATCGATGGTCGCCTTAAACGCGTACTCGCCACACTCCATCACACCCGAAAGCGTTTTGTCGTTTTGTGGTGCATTTTTCCGTGGCGTTATTTAATTCGATTCTTATTGGATAATTTAGTGTTATTAAGAATCGAGATGTATACCTATAGGTTTCGTTCAACTGCATGTGGGAAGAGCGCATAGA